AATTTTTGTTTAGAAATACAGAATAAGAATTAGTACGACTTTTCTTTTTATAGTTATAAGTGGGAATTCTTTCCCATTTAAAACTATAAGCTTGCATTCTTAGATAACTTCATATAACAAGTTGATTTCAAGAGACTTCATTTTCCTCTTCTGGTAAATGGAAATGACAAATTAATACATTATTTGGGATAAAATGAAGTTGCCTATAAGAATGCATTTTGAAAATTGGCCTTTCTCTTTAAAAAGTATATATTGGTAAAGGTACTCTTGTCTTTAGAGGAGTTGGTGAATTTTTGAGAAGCAGTTTTATTATAAGAATTTTATTATAGAATGGTGAAAGCCCTCTTGTTTTTTAATTTAAAAAGGAAGAGATGATAAAAAGTACAAAAGGAAAATGTTGATGGTGGCTTAATTTTAATTTTTGAAACCAAAACTTAGAAGGCAATCATTAAGAAATAATTACATAAAGAAGCATTAGTTATCACTTGAGTGTGGTGTTTCACACCTGTAATCCCAGCACTCTAGGAGGTTGAGGCAGGAAGAACACTTGAAGGTAGGAAGTCAAGACCACCCTCTGTCTCTAACAAAAGAAAAAATTAGCTGGGCATGGTGGCACATACAGGTAGTCCCAGCAACTTGGGGGGCAGAAGCAAAAGAATCACTTGAGCTCAGGAATTTGAGCTGTGATAATGCCACTGTACTCCACCAGACTCTGTCAGAAAAGTATAAATTAGCTTTCTTTGTAGAAATGCCACACAGCCAACATCTTCCTCTCCTATCAAGTCATTTAATAAATAGTATTAAATATGTAGGTTAAAAAAATTGAAAAGGAACTTCAGTGTCTTTCAGTATAAAAGGTAAACCACAAGGACTAATGCCTTCAAAGTATTCATGAAGTTTGTATTAATGTGTAAAATGTTTTGTTGGAAAAATCAACAGCTGTATATATAATTAATAACAATGTAAAGCTAACAACTATTAAAAGAAGAGTAATTAATAGAAGAAAATATACGTATATAGGAGTTTTAGCAAATCTAACAGTGGTTTTGAGGAAGATTTGTAATACTAGATCATTGATTTCAGTTTAATTGTATGCTTATTGATTCAATCTGCAGTCAGCCCTTAAATTTTGTGGTACAAGTAAAAGTTGAAAAAGCGGCTTGGGCTCCAATTTGAAAAAATAACTGGTGCATTTAAGTAGCTCCTTTTGAATTAGAAAATAACTTTTTTTTTTTGCTCTCTCTCTCTTTCTTTTTCTTTTAAACAGCAGTTCTGTGGTGTTCTTGGTCACACATTTATGGAGTTTCTGAAGGGCAGTGGAGATTACTGCCAGGCCCAGCACGACCTCTATGCAGACAAGTGAACTGTAGAAATTCATTACTACTCCACCAAGAAGCCCCC